ATTCGAGAATAAGTGATTAATTGTGAATTCTTGAAACACACACTTCTGTAGTTACTTTTGTAGCTTCGATTGTGCATCTTATAATGCTGCCTTATGGGACAAGGCATGAAGGGTGTTTTCATCCCTGTTGGAGCAGGGAGTGATCCCATGTAGTTGGGGAGAACTTGTCATCCCTACTAACACTAACAAATTAAATGTGGTAGTTGTTTGGTCAATATTTATGTAATTAGTGTTCTCCTTGTCCATGGTATCAAATAAATAAATAAATAAATAAAGTGATAGCACATGAACAAAAAATGTTGTTATAGCTTTGAAATGGGTAGTCGAGTTGGTGGAACATGACTTTCATATTTGAATGTCACAAGTTTAATTCTTATCATCAGTACCTTCTTAATTTAGCTTGTAGTACAAGATCTTCTCAATTTAATTTATCTCTTTTGTGTTATTTACAATTTTACATGTTATTATACAGGAGCGGATTGAAAACATGTACTACAAATCAAGTTGAGCTGTTTTTATCAGACAACCAAAATACATGTCTGATAACGTTGGATCTTTAAAGTCTTGTATGCATTAATGGACAATGAATCACTGATAATGTTAGGGTTTCGAAGCATTGTATATGATTGACGATGCATACTCTTTTTTTTTTAATAGTATTATTATATATATGCATATTGGAGCTATCTACTCGATATACAAGCAGAGAGATACGTATATCTACATCTCGAGAATTGGAGAATTTTTGGAAAAAATAGAAGAGAGAGGAATCTCTAGAATTGTCCGTAGATCTAAAAATAAATTATTAGGAAATTTGGTTTAAATAATCTTAGCAAATGTTACAGCATTGGTTGGATAGGATATGATGGTTTAATAATCTAATGACAACGATTATCTGAAACACATTGAAAGGGAGGTATTTATAAATCTATATAGCACTTAATTAATGAATGGCCATTACTCTAGCCACCAAAAGTGGCCATAAGGTCCGTTATTTTATCATGAAGGCGGACTATTCTTCTCCCAAAACATTGAATCGAAGGCGAACGATTCTTCTTCTCTTAAAATGTTGAATTTTTAACTCCAAAGGCCCCACATTTCGGTCCAACAAAATATTTGGAAGGACGTAAATCATGATGATTGACTTAATATGACTCAGCAGACAGGATCAAATGTTAGTGCGCACATAGAATCTGTCTATTTTAGACATTGATCTCTTCTTCTAAATACTGTTACTGCTAAAGTTTAAACATTGATCTCTTCTTCTAAATACTGTCTACTGATCATTCAGCTAAGTTTGTAGGACAAAAGGCTAATTATTCTACTATGAAGGGTCACGAAATGACGGAATGACTATGAAGGCACCACTCATCTTCTTTCATTATAAATATTATATAGCCAAGAAGAGGAAAATCATAACTGATTGAGCGTAATGAAAATCAAAAGAAGGAATTTTTGTACACTACTCTACTCAAGACATTAACAACACGTTTGGTTCACATAATGAATTTTGAGATAATGAGAATGCTATTCCATAAGGAATGGAATACACAATGAATAGAATAGGAATTGTATTTTGTTGTTTGGTTCGTGGAATGAATAGACTTTAGGAATTATATTATAGTGTTTGGTTGGTTTAATGAATAGAAATTATATATGTTTTAAAAGACATAAATATCCTTATAAAAATATGTGGTGGTAGTGGTGATGGCGGTGGTGCCGCTGGTGGTGCTGGTGCTGGTGGTGGTAGTGGTAGTGGTTGTGGCGGCGGCGATGGCGATGGCGATGGCGGTGATGTTGGTGGTGCTAGTAGCGGTGGCGGCGGTGCCGATGGCGATGGCGGTGGTGCTGGTTTTGCTAGTACTGGTGGTGGCGGCGGTGGCGGTGGTGATGGTGGTTGTGGCGGCGGCGATGGCGGTGGTGTTGGTGGTGCTAGTGGCGGTGGTGTTGGTGGTGCTAGTGGCGGTGGCGATGGTGATGGTAGTGACAGTGGTGAGACGATATATATACAAAGGGTATTTTCGGTATTAAGTACAAAGGCTATTTCCAAATACTTGGGAATAGCTAATACCAGAGGATCCCCTATGAATGGCTATTCCCAATGCAAAGTGAATAACTCATTCCTGAGAATGCTATTCCCAGCCATGAAAAGACAAATCAAACAATCGAATAGGTCTATTCATAGAAATGATATTCCATTCCAGACTATTCCATGAACCAAACACGCTGTAAGGGTGTCTTCAATTTCTTCGTACATAAGAATTGGAGGAGAATCAAATACTTAGTATCAATAAAACTTTAATTTCAAAAATTAAATTCATCACTCATCTATAAGAACATAAAAACAAATAAATTTTACACCATAAATAATTAAAAGATTAAGTCCACACGACAATCATAATTAAACGACTAAAAGTAACATTTTTCTCATTTTACTATGTTGGATAGAAATTTGAAGGCCAGGCCAAATCCAGTATCTTGCCATTGAAACGTAAAATTAACTGCTATATAAGTATAATATAATAATAAAATAAAATTGAACATTTACATCAAAGTAACAAACACTTAATCTGACCTCTCGTTATCTAACTGTGATACTGATTACTACATAATTATAATAAAATAAAGTTATATATCGTCTTAGAACAATAGTAAACACTTCAATGTGATAAATTATAAGATGCTACCATTTTAATTTTATATTAGAAATATAGGCCTCGTGGTAAGGAGCAGAGACGATATACGCAATCCGTGAGCACCGACAGCAGGCATCAATCAGCACATACCTCGCTAGCATGCTCCTAATTAATACTATTTTTCATTTAATTTTTAGATATTTACGTTTTAACAACTTTCTAGATATATTCAGTCATATATGGTGTCATAATCATTGACGATAATTCCCACCATTTTTTCTTCGGCGTAATTAAAACTCTGCACTTTCATGTATGCATTTATTAAGCTTAATTAGCTTAGCACATGTATGTATATGTCATGATTTTAAATTTCTATGGTAATTCCATCTACCCATCCCCATGCATGCAAACCCTTATAACATCAAGTCTATTTATTTATACTTGTAAAGTTTCTAATGAATTGAGACGATTAGTTGTAAATAATTTAGACTGATTTAATTATTTAATTGTGATTTATTATTGGCTAGAGTTACAAGGCAAATTTCACTAATTTAGAGCGCACCTTTTGATAACGACTACAGATTTTCCCTTAAATCAAAGCCTCTTTATTCATATTTATAAAATCGACCATTTTTTTTATCCCTAAAAAGTGAATCAAATTTTTTTTTTAATGGTTGAAAAATTGTCGATTTAATGCTCTTATACAACTTGTATGTTATGATCAAACGCTTACCACTTATGCCAAAAAGTTATAGTTAGTACTGAATGCGCAAATTTATTTTCTTATAGATTGCCATCACATTTTCGAGACGCTAGGCGTTAGACTTGACCTTTTAAAGCCTTTATCGACCTCCACTCAACAATCCCGCCCTCCAGCCACTGAGTGCTAAACTTGACCTTTACTAGCCTCCACTCAAAACACAAACATATGATTTACCTTGATTTCTTTGACAAATGACACCCAATTTTGTTTGTTTTTTTTTTTTTTTTTTTTTTTTTTTTTTCATACGAGGGCAAAGAGAAACAAGAAAGCGCAAATTATGCTGTGCAACCGAATGCACCATGCGCGTGGTGCATTCGGTCCAAAACGACGTCGTTTTAGTTAAAAAAAAACGCGCATCCCACTTAAAAAAGAAATCAGGTTCGATTCCCGACAATAGCATTTTTATATATCCATAAATTCATAACTATATATTCACAGTGAATGAATGAAATAAAAATCCACAACTATATATCCATAGTGAATGAATGAAGTAAAAATCCACAATGAATGAACTAAATATCCACAATGAATAAACTAAATATCCACAATGATTAAACTAAATATCCATAATGAATGAACTAAATATCCAGAAATTCATAACTATATATCCAGAAATTCATAACTATATATCCACAGTGAATGAATGAAGTAAATATCTACAATGAATGAACTAAATATCCACAATGAATGAATTAAATATCCATAAATTCATAACTATATATCCAGAAATTCATAACTATATATCCAAAAATTCATAACTATATATCCACAATAATGCTATTGCCGAGAATCGAACCTGAATTTTTTTTTTTTTAAAGTGAGACGCGCGTTTTTAGTCAAAACAACGTCGTTTTGGATCGTATGCACCATGCGCATGGTGCATTCGGTTGCACAACATAACTATTGACAAGAAAGCGGGTGATACCAATCTAGCACAGCAAGGCCCATTAAATTACCTAAACAAAATGAATTAAAAGATGTGTTCTATCTCAACTAAAAAATTAATGAACTAATAGTTAGATGTCATATTAATTATTTATATTGCATATATATTATATCCTCATAACGCCCCTCACGCATGCATGCCAATGACTTTTTGATAAGTCACAAACATCACGTGACTCTGATACCAAATATTTTAATGATATATCCTCACTCAACTAAAAATCTGAACTAATAATTGAAGTACAAATGTGTATATATTTTATATACTATATATATGCCCAACAAAAAGACTCGAACACAAACCTTCTTGAGGGTCCTCAAATTTTTGTAGACCGATATAAAAGCCGCAGTCATGGTGTGCTATCCAGTCTACACAAAAATTGAATTTGTTATGAGATGGATGCAATCATGCGTGCTAATACATGCATGCATGTAAGGATAACATTAACATATGCATACATGCATGAGCATATGATTGGGTGTTTAATTAACCAAACACAGTGGGAAAATGTGCAGACAGCCAAGACAGGTCTATTCTAAGGTTGGACTTAGAAAAGGGTTAGGTTTGGCTTTTTCATCTTCCTGTTTATTTCCACCTCCAAGCCACCCTTATTGAAACGATCCATTCTCTCTCTCTCTCTCTCTCTATGCATTATATATCTATCTATCTATCTCTCTCTCTCACTATGTAATGATGATGGAAGCACTACCGCAGCCTTATGTATGTCCAAACCAGACAATAATTAAGGTGGGCATCACCCCGCAGGTCTTACGTTATTAAGACCATTACTTTTTTCTCTTCAGACAGACCCTAATTACCTGCTTGCTAGGCCGGGGATCAGATCTTCATGTCTGATCTCTCTGCACCTCCAAACTTACGGCAAACAAAAATGGCGGAAAGTGTTGTTGACTTGAACATGATCCCTCTGGACGATGGGGAAGAAGAAGAAGAGATTATAATCAATCCGAAAACCAGCTCGAGCTCTAACGACCAGAGCGACGATGATCAGTTGGACGAGGAGGAGATCACCACGAGTAATGATGGAGATGGCGGGAAGAAGAAAGCGATGAGCTCTTCGTCCAACGGCAGCAGCACCGCCGCCGCCAGTAGCGGCGGCAGTGGCGGCGGCGTTCGACAGTACGTGAGATCCAAGGTTCCGAGGTTAAGGTGGACACCTGATCTCCACCTTTGCTTTGTCCAAGCTGTCCAACGCCTCGGCGGTCAAGAGAGTAGGTTTACTTCATTTTCAACTAATTCTGGGGCTACAACAAAACACTGAAATACTTACAGATTCGATTGATTTATGGTAAGTGATTTAAATATGTCCTTATATTTCATTTTACATATTGGGGTGCAGGAGCGACGCCCAAGCTCGTTTTGCAGCTAATGAATGTTAAGGGACTAAACATTGCTCATGTCAAGAGCCACCTACAGGTGATTTATTAGGGGATTTTGTGCTTAATAATCTTTTAAAACAATTAAGAATTGAACTCAAAAACTTCTACTATATATGTTATTAAATTACGAGATCTTGAATTATATATGTGAAGTAATAAAGTTTTGTTTTATTAATTTATTGGGAACAGATGTACAGGAGCAAGAAGGTTGATGATCATGGCCAAGGTAAAAGAAAACCTCAAAACAATAATTTTCTGGGGATTAGGGTTTCCAGTTCGATAAAGTCTAATTTCTCTAATTTATGATGTTTTTCAATAAATTTTTAGTGATAAATGAGAGAGCTGGATATCATACGGGGAACACAAACAATCTTCTGCAAAACCTCTGGCAATTACCCATGTTTGATCGGAGAATTAGATCCAACTTCAGGTACCAAAATTTTGAGAGTTTAATTTTGAGTGCCGAGAGAAATCTATTGCCACTATTCAAGGGTGTGCCCTGAGTAAAAACTCAGGCTTGTGACCCTAATCGGCAAAAGAGGTAAACTAACCTACTAGATTGCTCATAGCTGATCAGGTTAAAAGTAAATCAGTCTAGGTTGTCATAGCTGATCGGTTCAAAGGTAAACCAGTCTATGTTGTTCATAGCTGATCGGTTTAGAGCTAAATCATTCTAGCTTGGGCATATATAGCTGATTGATTCAAAGGTGAATCAGCCTAGGTTGTCCATAACTGATCGACTAAGACCAAGAAGGTCAATAAGTCACTCCCGTTGGGTCGAACTCGTAACCTTTGGGAGTTTAATTAACATGATTTAATTTTACTTAATTGTTTGTTCAATTCAGATTCATGAACAAAACCCCACAAATATTGATCATCAGGTACATGAACAATTCTTGGAGCTGCAGCAATGCAAACTGGATGTCTGCAAGGAACAATAATTCGATCATCAATGGAGGTTTGGGAATGAACAAGAACATGATCTTCACAGGCGGCCCAGAGTGGAAAAGAGGCCATGAAGCCCTGAGAGAAGCCAATAATGCGAAACCAACACAGTTACAGTCAGGAGAGAGCTTGATCCCAAGCTTCATCAATGGAGTTTCTTCCCCAGACATAAAATGGAGCAGTTTTAGCCCTGCAATGAAGAGAAACGGAGGCGAAAAGGCGGTGGATTTGAACCTGACATTGAGCATGAACTTGAAGAGAGAGAGAGAACAAGATGACAGCAACAGCAGGCACTGTAAGAGGAGGTGTTTGGATGGTGGGGAAGAAGTGGATAGCTCATTGTCTCTCTCATTGTCATCTTCAAGATCTAAATGTGCTTTCTGAATTAATATTGAACTTTAGGAAGCTAAGTAAGTATGATGATTTGAGGATTTTAAGGTAAGGTTTTTAGGGGGAGTTTTTGAAGAATCCAAGATTTGCAAGTACTCTGGATCTCATCACAACACCAATTCATCACCAGGAATTGTAGTGAGATGTTGTTGGTACTTGCAATAAGGATATATATATACATATATATATATGTTGCATGTTGTTTAAGGATCATATCATATGATGATGCACTGTACTGTTGTTCTTCACTTTTAGCTTCTGCTTAATTAATTGTAGTGATTCATCAATCTTATGGAACCTCAATTCTTTAATTTCCCACTTTTATTCTACTTTCTGGCTTATTTTAGATTCTAATTTGCTACTTAATTAGCTTTGATTTAGGAAAAAATCTGTAACCGTTACCTGAAAAGGTGAAGTCCGTCTTGTGATTGCTACTTAATTAGCCACTTAACTACTCTCATCTTTTAGCAGGCACACACTTCAACATTCTGACTAATTTTAAATCTGTCAATCTTACCTAATGAAATTCTTTTCAATATATATATTTTCATTTATTCACAAGTTTGAAAAGAGGAATCCAAAGAAGTAGAATCATAATTGATTAACATATATAGATAGAAGGCATAAATTTCTAACCACTTAAAAGTGGTCAAAAATCAAGGGCATAATGAATTTGTCCATCTCTGCATGTACTTGTTTGTTTCCACCGGATTTCCGGTGGGTGTTTCCGATGTTGAGCTACCATACTTGGGAACTACATAGTACACATGTGTGTCATTGTGTCATTTGTATGGGGAAACATTATATTTCGATTTTTTTATATACTACATTATTGGTATTTATATATAGTAAAATAAGAGTAATTTAATTAAGTTTTAATAGACTTCATTCAAAAATTCAGGTAAATTTTACAACGTATTGCTAGATTTCGATACTTTTTACTCCAGTATGATGTTATACATCTTGCCAAAAATGAAAATCGAGAGCAATTTCAAGGAAAAAGAAGAAGAAGCCAGAATCATTCCTATTATTTTTCTTTTCAATCACTCAATATGACCAAAATAGTTCATTATATTCTTTTTTTTTTGTTTTTTTTTTTAAGCAATGAACTCTAAGCCACTACTTGAGTACACGCAACCCCCCCTTGTGACCCTAACCGACAAATGATTACAATGAGGTAAACTAGCATAGGTTGCCATAACTGACTGGTTCAAACTAAGAAGGCTAGGCCGCTCCCGCAAGAAGTTGAACGTGTAACATTGTGGTTACCATGTTAACACAAAATTATATATATATATATATATATATATATATATATATATATATATATATATATATATATATATATATATATATATATATATATATATATAGCCCTACTTATATGCATTTGATTTATTCTACAAATTAAATATATAGTCTCGAGCAGTTCCCTATTGTTGTTTTCAATTCCTAGCTGAAATCAAATGCTGCTAATAATCTTGACCTAAATATAGATTACCTTACCTTAGCTAGCTTGCTAGCAAAACACCAAACAGACAAATTAATCATACTATTTCTTACGTATGTACATATATTAATATATACAACTTAACCCTAACCTTAACCTAGAAGAAGGCAAGCACCTATGATATGATTGTTGTGTTGGATTCGAGAAAATAATATTGAAAGCATTATTATATGTTAATATATAACTCTATTAAAATATGATGAGTTGTGCACACCCTCATTTAGTAGTTGCAAGTTTCCCTTTTAATCCAATAACGTAACTCTATTAAAATGAGGTGGCCAAGTAGACGGAACGTAACATGATTCTCGTACTTGAAGGTTACGGGTTCTATTCTTTTCAAACACCCTCTTAGTCAAGCATGTTGCATAAAGCCTTCTTAATGTGATTTACCTCTATATATCCTTTATGTAATTTGCATATTATTACACAAGAACAGAATTTACGCGTACTATACAACCCTCAAATAGTGACTGTGATTTTTCTACCGTCCAAAAACTCCATTAAAATGAATAAGAATTGTAAATAATGAGTATAGTATCACAAATCTCACACTTCATGCACAAACATCACATCATGGATCTGGACTTGATTTTGTAGATGCGAATTATGAGGATGCAAGCTAGCTAGCAAGCCAAGTTTTTCAAACCCATACTTTGAAATTAATGACAGCATCCTAAATAATATAAACAGAAGTAACAATTATCCTAAGTTATTTTAATATATCATTGAATTATATGGTTTGAATGATTGAAGCTTGGATTTAAGTTTAATTAACTGAATGTTTTATCTGAATATAAACAATTTGAAGTTTGATAACAACAATAAAAAAATAAAAAAATTTGTTGAGTTTCTAGCTGAAGAGTGTTAGAAATAATTAGCATTATTTGATTAGGCCAAGTGATCGAATTAAAGGGATTTAAACAATGTAATAGTTATAGCTGGCTAAGGGATTCTGTTGGGCAAATGGTCGGAGGGTCAAACCCAACATTAATGCTGACTTATAAGGAAATAAAGTAACTTTTAACATAGAATGCTTGAAAATTACAAACATAATGCTCAACTTCCTCGTAGTAAGACAATGATCTCATCACATTGGGTGCCCGATACATGGCACAAGATGTGCCCGATCGAGTTAATTGGCCTATTTTTTGTATATTAATGAGCTGGACAGTCATATAATTTGCGCCTCCCATCAAATCGCGATTCATTACTCTTGATTGGGTCTTTCAACTTAACTCAAATATTATAACCTCAATTGAAACCCATCAACCTAAGAATCATGAGAAAGCAAGTTGGAAACTAGTTTGAAAACTATGTTAGAATCCAATGCTTATCACCACATCTAAAATTTATAGTTAGTAGCGAATACATAATTTTATTTCTTAATACTTCTGTAGTTACGTTGTCAGTGCTATGCTTCAGTAGCAAGATGAAAATGCTATGCTTCGGTAGCAAGATGAAAATGTTGGGCTCGACCCTACCCTACAAGTGAACAAACTTTTTTTAATACTACTGACTCTATTACAATATAGTATAGGTTCATAACTACTTTCTCAATCTAATGAAGCATAAAAAGTCAATATTGCCTCCACTGAGGCTCAAACCCACAACCTCCCAACAAGTGAACAAACTATTTATAAAGTACTTGGTCATTATTTTTAGATACTAGTCTTCAATTGAAACTTGAAAGCAAATGCAATATCCCAAATACATATTTCAAACATTTTGAACTACATGATGTAATCTGTTCCCAACTTGGTTCCTACTTGGAACATTGTTATATTATTGTCCTTAGTAACTTAACTTAGTTAAAAGTGTTCAATACAATGATGGAATCCAGCTGATTTGAGAAAGGCAAACCATGAGATGTTTGAACTGGATCTGCAACCATTGGGCCGGCTTAAACATTAATGGGTTTTATTGGTGCTTTTGGACGATTGAAAAATAAAAGACTATTTAGGCCCATTAACATCACTTTAACTAGCTAGCTAGTATTTCTAAGTCGTTATGTTGTGCAACCGCATGCACCATGCATGATGCACACGATTATAAAAACGACGTCGTTTTGACGTCCGACTTAAAAAAAAAAAAAATCAGTTTCGATTACTGTTAACGGCATTATGTTGTGCATAATTTGAACTATACATCCATAAATAACTTCATAACTTTACATTCAGAATTGCATAACTACACATCCATAACTTCATAACGATAATTCAAAATTGCATAACTACACATCCGTTAACTTCATAACTATACAGTCATAATTGCATAACTACACATCCATAACTTCATAATTATACATTCAGAATTGCATAACTACACATCCATAACTTCATAACTATACATTCAGAATTTCATGCATAACTACATACACATCCAGAATGTCAAAGGAAATACACACTTGAGATCTTGAAGGAAAATGGTTTCCTAGATGCTAAACCAACCTCAACACCTATCCTTCCAGGTCAGAAACTAACCAGCATGGATGGCAACCTGCTTGACAGACCAGAAGAATACAGAAGGTTAGTAGGGAAGCTTCTCTATTTAACAAGCACTAGGCCTGACATTACTTATGCTACACAGCAGCTAAGTCAGTTTGTTGACAAGCCTAGAGACACACATCTTATTGCAGCCCATAGGGTATTGAGGTACCTCAAAGGTTCTCATGGAAAGGGAATGTTGTAAAAGGACAAAACTACCCTTAACAAGTCTTAACAAAACTTTATAAACAAAGCATCACTTCTTCACTTTGACAATGCATAATTACACATCCATAACTTCATAACTATACATTCAGAATTGCATAACTATACATTCATAACTCCATAACTATACATTCAGAATGTGAAATTATAAAATTATGAACATATGTTTACGTAACTAACGACAATCGATTTTTTTTTTTTTTTTTAAAAGTAGAACGACGCGCGCCGTTTTTGCAACCGTTTGCACCATGCATGGTGCACACGGTTGCACAACATAATTTGCCAGTATTTCTATGGGCATTAGGTCATTATACCTTGCATCATGGTGCACATAGCAATGTGCGCTCCACGCCTCTCAAAATGACGTCGTTTGTTAAGTTGTGTGGGGAATTGACGCGACGAAGTGTATGTGTATTCTGTTATAAAATTCTGTACATTTTGTTATAAAATTCTGTACATTATGTTATAACATTTTGTACATTATGTTATACAATTCTGTACATTTGAAACACAGGATCTTCGATCTCAACCAACCCCGTTGCACAAGATCTTCATACATCCGCACAAGATCTTTATAGTTTAACTTACCTCTCTTGCGTGGTTATCATAAATTTTGGATGAAAAGTTTTTTTTTTTTTTTTTTGATGAAATGAACAAAATATCATTACTCATTGAAAATTAAAATCAAGCCTAAGTAGACGGAAAATTGGTCTAAACATTACATTCAGTCCTAGAACAAGCTACTCTAGTTACGTTAAGTCATGGGCAACCCTATACACTGAACATTTTACAAATGAGAGAGTAATATTTGAAATAATTCTCACGTTTTCCTTAATATTCTCAACAAGAAGGCCAGTCGGCGAACACTCCTGGCCAGTCCAGTATTCTAAACATGAATGACATTAAGGCATCAACATCGACTTGGACATAATTCATGAATGAAAAGTTATTTTGTAGTTGCTATATGGTCACAAACCTTGTCATCTGAGGAAATATAACACTCTCAAGTAATGAAACATTCCCTCCACCTAGAATTTTTAAGGGAATGTGATTCTCTTCCCTTTCTTAAGTTATTTAAGATAACTTTGGATATTTATAAATTTTGTCATTT